GGCAGCGTCCCCTACCCAGCCCCGGCCCGGCCCGGCCCGGCCGCTAGGGGACCCTCCTAGGAGGGACCAGCCCCTGCCCCTGCCCGCGTGCGAGGTGTCGGGGTCCCTGGCAGGGTTGGCAGGGGCCGGGGGATTCTTTTCCGACGCGGAGGCAACAGCATGAGCAGCCGCGCAACCAGCACTACGTCATGCGGCGCCAAGGACGAAACCGGGCTCCTCGGCTGCGCGCGCCATCAGCCGTGCCTGGGCTTCTACCGCCGCCTGCACCTCGGGGTCCCCCCCCCGGGCACCCCCTCGGCTGCGGCACCTCAGGTAGGGCACCCCCGCAATCACCTCCCAAACACACACGGGTGTCGTCTGCTTTGGTTGTGGGGCGGTGCTGGCCACGGCCCATCCCGCCTTTCTCCTGCTCGGGTCTGCAGCTGCACCATGTATTGGTCCCATATCGGATTTGCACCGATATAAGGAAAATCGTCCCTGTGGGAAATCAGGCTGACCCGGTGGGGTGGGAGGGGGGGGCTGATCTTCCCTTCCCCGCCCCCCACAACACGCAGAGCAGCTGGAGGCAGCCCTATCGGCCAGCACGCCTCCTTAGGAAAAAAGAATCGGCTATCGGTGCCGGCCCCGAAGGTGCACCCCTACTTCATCGACATTGGGGCTGGACGGGACCTTGAAGATCGAGTCCAGCCCCCTGCCCCAGGGGCAGGAAGTCGGCTGGGGTCGCAGGAGCCCGGCAAGATAGGCGTCCAAACGTTTCTTGAATGAGTCCAGGGTATCTTCTATGAAATGTTCGATATACGCTCAAGAGATGCTGGATACGAGCCACACTTCCCGCTACAGAGGAAGGAAGGAAGGAAGGAACCCCCCACCCCGACAGTCCACACCGATCTGAGCACGGGGTCAGACTCCTCCCTGACCCCAAATGTGGCATCGGTCTGACCTGGAGCGGATGGGTACGACCCTCTAGACAGGAACCGCCGGTGTGGTCCCAGCAGGAGCCCTGGCACAGCACAGTCAAGGTCCCCAGCCATAACACCCTCAAGACACACATGTCCCAACACATAACACCCTCACCTGCCTGTCTCCCCTGACTTCATGAAGAGGAAGAAAAATCTGGCATCAAGTTTAATTCAGTTCCCTTGTAATACATGAAGCTGAGGTGCCATGTAAAGATGTTCCAGGCCAGCACATGAAAGGGCAGTTTTGAATACGTTCTTACCACGGGCCATTGCTGGAGCGCAGAATTAGAAAAGCTGTTAGCAGTAAGAGACGTGATACCTTTTCCAGTGACTCCAGGAGATACTGGAACGCCTCCTTCGCATTGGGTCCAAGTTGACACGGACCCCAAGTTCTTCCTGCCTGGAAAGTTTAACATGATGTTGCTCACAGGACTGTGAAGTCCAAGAGGTGCCTTGGAGCTCCGCTGTGTTAGGACTGGGGTAAGAGAAGACTGTGCACCAACCCACCACTTCCCGTCTCAAGGGATGCAATTGGGAAAGGTGGAAAGATACAGGAGCTGCTGCATGGAGAGCATTTCCACAGGAGCTTTAGGATTTCTGTTCCAACTGTATGATAAACATCTGACAAAAGTCTCCGACTTGTTTGGGAGTTTTGCCCACCCGTCAAGGCTGCCTTGCTCTACCACCTTAGCTTGCAGGATCCAGGCTTGCAGACATTGGCCAACAGTCCCTAGGCAGGATGGGTTTTTATACGTGTGTGTACAGGACATGAATCATCTCAGTGGGAGCCTCTGAGAAAGAGGCTGCAAAGGGAGATTCGTGCATAAAGGTTCCTGCATCCTGAGTCTGGGGGACGCTGGGGCATAAACCTGTTTGCAGCAGAACCACAGGTCTGATCCCGCATCACAAGGTTGGCTTCTGTGGCAGTGGGACCAGGGTGAGCGATAGCACTGGATTGGTTCCACATGGGCATTGGAGGGCACGTTGCATTTCCATCACCTTGCCTATCTGTCCATCCCATCCATTTGGCTGGAAGTTGATATTTGGGATAGTATAAGCATCCCAAGAGTCAGAAACTCCCATCAGGGAGACAGGGTGGGCCCCATGGGTTGCAGTTCCCACAGCACTGACAGCTGCTGCCTGCTGGGGACACATGTTAGAAATCCAGCCTTAAGCAGTGTGAAGTGTCCCCATGGACAGGGTGGGGGTAGTGGCCTGAAGGGTTCCTAGACAGTTCAAAGACACAAGTGGACATCCAGAAAGTTAACTTACCTCTGCCTGCTTACCTCTGCTGCTTTCCAGACATGGCAAAAGGCACTTTACAAAAACTAAGGTGGTTGATGACCAAGCATGGGGTTCCTCTACCTCCAGGCCTTGAGGGCCCCCCCCCAAGGGAAACCCCTTGACCTTGCAGATGCTGCCCAGGGCGTAGTGACCTTCTGGTCCTGCCTTGGTCTCCACCTGAGCTTAGCCCAGGTCCCCAGCAGGGCAGGGGAGCCCCAGCCTGGCCTCTCCCAGCACAGGAGAGGGTTCTCACACACATGGTATCCGGCGGGGAATCTGGCTGCTCAAGCAGCAGCTCTCCCGGCAGCAGAACAAGGGCATCTCCCTGAAAAGGGCTCGTTTGCTGGAAGCAGTGCGGTTTCTAGGTGCCAAGAGATGTGGCTGGGGAGGGACACAGGCAGACACAAGGACACGTACCAGCCCTTTCAGCTGGGGTGAGGAAGACAAGAACTTACATGCAAGATCAGACCTTGTGCCTCCTGCTGCCTCAGCTGTTCAGTTTAAAATGTTGTCCAACCACCTGTTCCTCCCTGCCATGCTCCACTACAGTGGGTTGGCCCTGCTGGACGCTGCCAGACACAAGTTGGTCACTGTTACTGGTTGGACCTTGAGATGTTTCAGTCCCGAAGTAGCAAGAGGTAAAGGAGTCCAGCGTGACAACAAAGATTTCCCAAGATGCAAAAAGGAGGCAGACACCAAGCCCCTAGGTCCTCTGCCACCGAGCAGCTGTTGAGGTTCTGCTGTTATTGTGTTTTACTGGGAGGGCAATGGGAGGTCACTGGTTCATAACCCTCCTTGGGGGGCATGGGTACTGCCAGCGTACAGCCCTGAGTAGCATCTTAAGTGTCTGCAGTAAAAGACATGGTGTCATGACTTCAGTGAGCGAGAAGATGCAGCATTTGATTAAAACCAAAGCAATGCCCAAGCCACAGTCCCGCTCCCACTGACAGGCACTCCTGGCAATGCCCCTGGGTGTGCCTGGGTGAGCACGGAGTCAGCTCTCAGGTAGGATGCAGTCAAAGCTGCTGACTGTTGCTAATGAGCCTTTTCATCCAGCCTTTCAATTCCTGGTCCTCCCACAGACCTGCTGTCGGTTCCTACCCAGGGCCCCTTCCCAGAAGATGGGCCCAACACTTCTCATGAGTCCCAGCCATGGGGTTCCTAAGCACCAAGACATGTGGCTGGCGAGTAGTACCAGCCTAGTTTCAGGGTAGAGGTCACAGAGCCACTGCTGAAACTCATTCAGATTCTCCCCAGGTCCAAGTGACCGCCCAGATTTACCCTAGGCTTCACCTGAGCCTGGCACAGGTCCCTGGCAGTACAGGGCAGACCCAACACTCAGTCTCTACACAGAAGAGGGTCTCGCCCATGTGGTGCCAGGGGAAGCTGGGTGATCACATAGCCCCTTGCCCTGCAGCAGGACAACAGTGTCTCCCAGCAAAGCACTCCTGCAGCCAAGGGGCTGAATAAAAACTTTTCCCTGGACCAGGAAACCTGAGTTTCTGACTCTCCAACTTCACCAATGGGCGAGGCAATTCCTTCATTCCCCAGCTGGTGCCCGTCTCCGAGATCCCTGGGCTGGGATCTGCAGCGATGCAGGCCTGGAAAGGAAAATACAGAGTTAGATCTTGGACTGTGACAGCACAACACATCTGGTGGATTGCTGGGGTTTGGATTGGGGCAGTGTCAGTACGACCCCCACCACCGCAGGGTTACTGATGCTGCTGATCCAGGCCACAGCCACCCCAGGCAGAAGAGTCCTGTGCCCTTTCACTGGGAATAGCTCTGAGTAGGAGAGCACTTGGACACGGACAACTCCTAGCTCCGTAGTGTTCTCCTATCCACTGGCTGGATGCCATGGGATGTATTCATGGCCCTTTTCCAGCCTGTGCTGGGGATTCATAGACTGCAGGGTGCTCATTTCCCGCATTTTGTAAGTTCACAAATAAAGCATTTCTGGTCTGACCCTACAGCTCTGGCTACGGGGCTGTGTCCCACCCACCAGAGGAAAAACCATGGATGGGGTCTTGTCACTAACCTGGTGCATGGTGTTTAAGGAGTAGGACAGGAGCTATTTCAAACCGGCTATACCTGGATTGGATTGATAGTATTGTGGGAGGCTGCCCCTGGATCCAGGAGTGAGCCTCAATCCTTCAGCTGTCTTGTGCTCCATGCACCCAACTGGTACTAGGCTTGTCCTCAGCCACTATATCACCTTGGGGCATAATCTTGGCTCCATCTGCCAGTGTAGCCATGCCCATGCCTTGTGGGTGGTACTATGCATCACTCGGGGGCCCTGGCTCCATCGCAAAACTTGGACCCCAGAGGCCTCAAACCTTTGTGGATGCTTCGGCCTTCCTGGCTTCGGCCCCTTTTCTTTGCCTGTGCTCCCTCAGCCTAGGTCCACAGCCTTGGACTTCATGTTCTGGACTTAAGTCCTCTCCTGCCCTTCTCAGGCTGCTTGGACCCCTTACCCATCTCAAGCTGTTTGGGCCCCTGGCACTAGCCCTGGCAAGGCTGGTGCCTTGCGTCCCAGCCCCCAGGGACCCTGACCCAGGCTAGGCTGCTCTCATGCTGCTCAGGCCCTTTAATGTCTCTCACCTTTGCAGGGCTTTATTTTGGGTGCCCTGTGGCTTAAATGCCATCCCCACAGCCACAACCCAGTCCTCCAGTCTTGGACTTCAGTGTAACGCAAATATAAGCAAACAGCTTCCCAAGCTAAACTTTACCCTCGCTCTGGGTCGATGCCTCACCACAAGCCATACCTCCCCTTAGGTAGGCTGACCATAATGAGATCCGGGACACTGCCCCCAACCTCTCCTCCCCGCATTCTCACAAGCTGGCAGGGGTCTGGGTCACCGCTCCATGCTGATCCGACTCTGTCCTGCACCCTTGCATTTCTGGGCACCCATTATAATTCTCTTCAGCTGGCTAGGCCGGTGGTCTCTTAAATCTGGGACTGTCCCAGCTAAACCAGGTGTAACCCAGGCGGTACTCCAAGAGGTACCCCCTCTCCAATGGAAGGGATCAAAGCAGGTGCACAGGTGCTGTGGGAGGTGTAGGGGCTCT